ATACATACTATTGCAATTATTGAAATTAATATTGTAGTAAATATTGAATGATTAATAATAAAGAACACTGATTCATTCAATTTTAATTTAAGATTTTACGGTAAATGATATAAGCATTGTTTTACTTTTAAAAATATATCATCGTGTTATACTAAGACCGAATATTTAAGTGTGTCCCGCCTTTTTATCAAAATGTCCGGTTTTTCGGTTTAAAGACCTGGCAACCCTAGCTTGGTAGTAAGTTTAAGCTTTGCATTTTACAATCTTATAAACTTAAAATATAGTTTTTGCCTCGTATTACATACTAATTTTTAGCTATTATATATATATATATATATAGAGTGCGATGCGGCGCTCTCCACTAACCCTTCATTTCGAGCTTTTCTTGCGAATGTGTCGGACGCATTGTTGTTTGTTTTTAAAATGAACAAAGAAAAACTTATGGAAGAAGTTCGGAAGTATAATTTATTATATGATTTAAGGGTCACTCGTTGAGTACGCGAGGTCCACTCATTGACGACGCGAGGTCCAATCGACGACCACGCGAGGTTCACTGGTGACAACGCGGCGTCCACCCGTGGTCCACCTGTCAACTACGCGTGGACGCCTGGCAACGAGGCGGTGAGGGTCGGGTGCCGGGTGGCTCTAATGAGCTGTAACCTTAAATCTTAGTTATACGTCTTACGGGTTATAGTTACAGGGTTTACATCTTCTTCGTAAAAGGTTCTTCGTAAATATTTCTGCGGCTGTACGAAAAATGTTCCTTGATTATAGTAATCGGAAATTATTCCGCCATAATGAATGTGTCCTCAGAAGTGACAAAGTATCTGTACTTAGCCTTTGATGTTTGTTTTAAGTGTCTATAGCGCGCAGCAGCCATTTACCATTATGCGGACTGTAAGTTTGTTTTTCAATTCAGTTTAATATAAAAAATTTAGAACTGAAGGCAAGATGATATTGAATGAAATATAGTGTATTGTTACTACTATATATATATATATATATATATATATATATATATATATATATATATATATATATATATATATATATATATAGTGCAATCTTATAAACTTACAATATAGTTTTTTAGTTATTAGAATATGCCATTAGTATGTATGTAATGAATATATAATGAATATATATATATATATATATATATATAGAAAATATAGAAATAGAAAATGTATTTATTTAACCAAAAAAACATTACATAATTAAGCAATACACTGGTTTCTGCACTAAGCTCTAGGCTTGTATCGCAGGAACCAAGAACATTGACTGACACCGTTTACACCGATAAATACATAGAACTCCGATTAAATTAAAATGAAGCGAAAAATAAACTTTTTTTTTTTTTGTGTGCGTGCGAACGAGTGTGTGTGCGTGCGTGTGGGTGTGTGGTGTGTGTGTCTGTGTGAGTGTGTTTGTGTGTGGGGGGGGGGATCGTGCTTGCGCGTGGGGGTGAGTGAGTGTAAGTCTACGCGTGTGCATGTATAGGGTCAACTATGAAAGGAAAGTAAGTTTTCCGTTTCCTGATAAGAAGCATGTAGCAGCCAGGTTGTTATTTTGTGTTTGACTTTACTTGTGGACAAAGACCTCAAATCTGGGAAGAGACAGCAGAATTTGTTGTAAATGCTAGGCAGAAGAAATGGTGAGTGGCGTTTGATAAAGCTACTGTGTGAATTGGGAATCGGCACTCGAAAGATCCGACGTTGGCACAGGCTAAGATAATTCGGGGAATTTATTATTTTTCTGTGGGTTAGTATTACTGCCTTTAAAATGTAGATTTGGCGAACCCGTAGTACCTTACATTCCTTGTACAGTTCGTCAGTAGGAAATCTAAAGTTTTTAGACAGCATTACTTTTAGTACTGCTCGCTGGGCCCTCTCGACTTCAAGCATTTTTGATTTGATAGCTCCACCCCAAGCCAGCGTGCAGTAGTATAGTAGGGATTGGGTTAGTGCTTTGTAAACCATTTTCATTGTTTCTTTAGTAGCACAACGTCGTAAAGCTTTCATTATGTAAATGGTTTTCCTAACACTACCCGACAAGCGGCTTAGATGGTTTTTAAATGATAGCTTATCATCAATGATCACTCCTAGATACCTGATGTTATCTGTGTTGCTGATTGTATTACATCCGCAAGAGGGTACTTCAGATACGCAAGTGTGAATTACTAAGTTTACCAGCGAAAATGGTTTTGATGCGAGAGTTTTGTGAAAGGCTATGAACTTAGTTTTTTTATAGTTTAGAGTTAGTAAATTGGAACTTAACCATTTATTCAACACTACCATGCCTTTTTGAGCCGTCTCGAGTACGCTGTCCCAACTTAAATCATTAAATATAATGGCTGTATCATCCGCATAGCATATGACGTCTGCTCTTTGTATGGGTAATTCTAGGATGTCATTAATGTAAATGCAGAATAGGATTGGACCAAGAATACTTCCTTGAGGAACTCCAATACTGATTTTTAATTGCTTACTTGTATGTGAGCCCACTCTTATGCATTGACGCCGATTTAAGAGATAGCTACGAAACCAAGCCAACGCCACTCCTCTAATTCCTTTTGTTTCAAGCTTCCGCAGCAGAATAGGGACCGAGACGGTGTCGAAGGCCCTAGCAAGATCTAGGAAGATACCTAAACAGCTGCGTTTATTGTCCAAATGTCTAGACACAGCATCTGTCAGTCGTACTACCGCATCCTCCGTGGACTTACCCCTCCTGAAGCCAAATTGATTTACAGAGAGCAGATTATTATTTTCTATAAAGTTGGTGAGACGTTTGCTTACCATTTTTTCCAATAACTTGGAAAATATACTTAGCAAAGATATGGGCCTGTAATTACTAGGACAGTTTTTATCCCCATCTTTGTGTATTGGAGTAACAACTGCTAATTTCCAACAATTAGGAAAAACGCCACATAACAAGCTAAGATTAAATATGTGGGTAAGTGGATGCAGAACTATGTGTTTTATCTGTTTAATCAACCTTGGGGTGCAGCTGTCTATACCCGGTGCAGTATCGTTTTTTAGCTGGTCAATAAGCGTACCAACTTCATAAGGATCCGTTGGCTGCAGAAAGAGGGAGTCCTTGCAAAGCACTCTTGGTTTGTATTCTGCAGCTAACAGGTCTTCTTGGGTGTTTAATCTTCTGAGCGTGTCATCAGCCAGTTCTCTGCCAACTCTAGTGAAGTACTCGTTACAAGCGTTTAAAGAAGAATCAGGGTCTTTGTCTACGGACAACAATTCAGAAGCCTCGGTAGTGTTACGTGTGAGATTACATATATTTTTGAGCGATTTCCACAACTTTTTTGGGTTATCTTTATTTTGCTGAATTTGATTATTCTCGTATTCGGTCTTTAATTTTCGTTGTAGCGCGTAAAGGAAGTTTCTGTATCGTTTATAAGTGATTTGGATAAATGTGTTATAAGGGTTTCTCCTGGCTTCGAGATGCAGATTGTCACGGTGTTTTTGGCATCTCATTAAGCCTGGAGTTATCCATGGCTTTATAACTCGATCTGACCGTTTGGGCACCACATAACTTGTGTTTTCGTTTATTGCCGTTTCTAAGATTGTGTAAAAATTATCAGCTGCCTCGTTAGCATCTTCCATATTCATTATCAATGACCAATCAGTCGACTCCAGCTTGTCAACAATCCGATTAAAATCCATTTTGACCTTACCGTGGATTCGAGATGGGTGATTCGCCTGGTTGATGGTAGTACCAAGTAAACAAATGTCATGATCAGTAAGATCTGCATGGCACACTATACCAACAGCAGAATCTGTACCCCTTACGAAGATGTGGTCCAGGCAGGCCGAGCCCCTGGTAGGCTCCGAGATAGCAGAGAGCAGTTGATGACTTGCTAACAAGCATAGATACTCGGAGCACTGATCATCAAGTGGGTCTCCGTTTATATTTATATTTAAGTCACCTGTCAACACCACGGCATGCTTGTTGTTAATTTCCGATAATGATTTATCGATAAAGGCTATAAAGTTTTTCACATTATTAATAGAGGGAGACCTATATATCCCTAGAATAGTAATTTTATTATTTAAATTTAATTTTAGGCAATCGCACTGGTCACTTAACGGTTCTGAAGAATTTACACTCCATGAATCTTTAACGTATGCGGTGACTCCTCCACTTTTATTTAGGTTATTTTTTGTGTAAAAGGAAATATATCCTGGAATTTGTGGAATCGTGGGGTTTACACCAAGCCAACACTCCGTTAGAATAACCACATCTGGATCAACATTAAGTCGGGCTAACGAAATCAAAAAACCATCAAAATTGCGTTGGAGGCTCCTAATATTGACATTTAAAACTTTAAAGTCGACACCTACGGGTAATAAATTACGACATTGCTCTAGGCTCTCAATGGAATGACACTTTACTGTCAAAGTTTCGTCTATATCAACATGAAAGTCACACATTTTTTCGCTTAATAATAACAAATAATTCTACTAACTGCAAGAGTGATTTTGGACAGTTGTCATTGATTGAGAGCCAGAACAATCGGGACTGATGATTGTGTAGAGTGATGTTGGTGCGGTGCGTTGTGTGTGTGAAAGACATTGAGTTATATGTACTATGTACTAGTACATATAACTCACTGGTGAAAGTGTGTATGCTTGTTCTAGTAATAGAAATTGTAATAAGTCTATTGTGTTTGATTACGGTAAATTTAACAAAAAGTAAAATATCACTTTTAGGAGAGTTCGCTTGCTTTTTCGGGGCCAATTTTGGTATCCAGGTCTTCGTAGGAAAGAATACGGATAGCTGGTTTGTTCTCTGCTTGTTTGATATAGATCCCTCCGTTGCGTACCCAACAGAATTGGAAGCCCAGGTTCTTTGCTCGCAGTCTTGAGTTTCGAAATAAATAGCGATTAGACTTGGTGAGCCGTTCGTTAATATATATATTCTGTGGTGAGCTATTTACAATGTTCTCAGATGACAAGCCTCGCCTGGCCCTGGCTGCCGTTATAAGCTCATCCCTCTTTTTTACGTCGCAGTAGTTTGACTATGATTGGGCGCGGGTGTTTGTAGTTGGGCATAGATGATTTTGAGCCTGAGGAACGTTTAGGGCCTACACGTACCACTTCATCCAGTTCATTTTCGGATAACTGTACTCCGAGCTTTTGACAAGTAGCGAGAACGATATGCGTGAGATTTTCGTTGTTTTCTTCAGGCATACCAATAATCTCCAGTTCATTTCGCATCGAGTGTTGGTCTTGGATGGCGATTTGTTGCTGTAACTCATTAACTAATGATTTTAATGAACTGATTTCCAAGTCTTTGGACTCAAGTGCCTTCGATAATTCACCTAGCCTCTCTTCAAAGCATTTGGTAATGGCTGATGTTTGCAATTTCAGTTCTTGGCGTACTATGTCTTTAACTTCGTCCCTGAAGTCGCGTATTTCCGAAATTAATGTAGTTAAGTCGACGTCTTCGTTTGAAAGAAGCTCAGAGCTTTTCAATTTTTGTTTATTCCCTCTTGTGGTGTTGACATTGTGGCTCATTGTATATTCGTCATTCAGGGAAGCCGCTGGGGAACGCACTGGCGTTAACAGGTTACTTTTTTTTTGGTAGGGAGCAAACACATGACGGGCAAATCCATTCATTTCTGTACTTTTGCGAAAGAGTGTTAAAGTGTTCCTCCGTAATATTAAGACACATTAAATCATATAGTTTATTACACTTGGAACATTTCATGAAGCCAAGATTGCGAATTTTGTTGTTACAACCGCTGCAAGTCGTAGACATTTTAAACGCAGGCCGCCAGTCAAGAGACAAAATAAATTTTAGATAAGTACGGTAGTCTTAGATAGTTTGAGCGAGTCGAAGTGCGTTAAACAGTGAGGGCGTAATGACTCACCTCACGGCCGATGCAGTCGGTGTACGTGTTGTCCTCGGTCAGTGCCGTTCCAGCCGATATAAATACTTAGAAATATTTTTGCTTTTAACCAGATGGACCGAAAAAATTTCGGGTACTAATTTTCACTACAATCTTTGTTCGTTTGTCTTCTTCAAATTAGTAGTAAGTTTGACGTTAAATAAGCACTTTGATTATGAGTATTCACTAAAAATTACGGAGCAAAGTATTACAGGTGTGTTCTCAAACGAGTACGTTAAGGTACGAATCCATATATATATACATATATATATATATATATATATATATATATATATAATGTTTGTATGTTCATATAATGACAAGTTAATACTAAATTATGACTGAAAACTTTATTACATACTTAGTGCTCGTCCGATAATAGTTTATTTTACTCAATAACAAAATTGCTTTGACCTCGTGTTGCCGCGTGACCTCGAGTCACGCATAGTGTGCGAACGAGTGGCGCGCGTAAGTGGAGACGAAATTAGAATTTGAGCTGAGGTAGTATAGGCCCTTAATGACACGCTCGTTACTAAGTTTATATTATTTATAATTGTATATTTAATTATATTTTTTTATACCAACACAAAACAAACACAAAAAAACATAACTCTTTCTCCACCACCTTCAATTATTAACAATTTATAACGATTAACACACCATCTTCGAGTTTTGTTTATTATTTTTTCACCATTCGCTTATATTTCCTATTCTGAACTTCCTCTGCAAAGGCCGTATATTGCAAAATAACCTTGTATATTATTTCCAAAAACAAATCCATTGGGTTACCAGTTTTCTCGCAGATCGGTGCATCAAGGTTGTAGTCGATTGTGAACACTCAGAGCCCAAATTCTGGTACAAGACGCCTGGATTCTGGTGTTTGACAATTCCAAAACCAATGATATGTTGCAAACCAGTAACATTCATTAAATAAAATCATTATAGCAACATTCATTACTATGCAGACAGCATTTTCAATGCTCCATACACGTGTTGTGCAAATTTTTCTCAGAAACATGTCGAATTATGGAACAAACAAGTCATATATATAAAAGAATTTTATGTATTTCCCTATTTTGAGAGCATTTCTTTTGTTATCTCAGCCAGTATTGGAATCCTTAGCGTCAACATATCGAGTGACCTACAGTTCAATCGACGCAAACACTCCTCGACTTCTAATCCAGTGGAAAACTAAGATGGCGCGTCCGATTTTGTCGTAGCGCTGAATGTACAAATTATATATTTTGGATGATTATACTTTAGATATTATAATCAGCTGGTACATTTTTACAAATACGCTTTGCGCTTTAAGAAGGCGAATACAGACGTGTATATACAATGTTTAAACGCTAAAAAGGTATTCTGTTCACGCTACTGATAATGTTAATGATATTATACCTTAAACTCATTTAATTTGTTGATTTTACCCATTAAAAGTACTGAAAACAGTTTCCTATCTATGATAAGCATGCTCTCTTATGTATATAGTATATTGGATTAGTGGATCTTGCATAACATATGAGTATGAGTAAGAGGATGCGATAAAAGCACCCGCTGGATGGATTAATCATTACTAAAGTATAGTAAAACTTTATAGCGTAGTGTTAGTAACAATACACTATATTTCATTGAATATCATCTTGCCTTCAGTTCTGAATTTATATTAAACTGAATTGAAAAACAAACTTACAGTCCGCGTAATGGTAAATGGCTGCTGGGGGTATAGACACTTGAAACAAACATCAAACAAAGGCTAAGTACAGATACTTTGTCACTTCTGAGGACACATTCATTATGGCGGAATAATTCCCGGTTACTATAATCAAGGAACATTTTTCGTACAGCCGCAGAAATATTTACGAAGAACCCACATGTAAACCCTGTAACTATAACCCGTAAGGCGTATAACCAAGATTTAAGGTCACAGCTGATAAGAGCCACCCGGCACCCGACCCTCACCGGCACGTCGCCAGGCGTCCACTCGTAGTCTACAAGTGGACCAAGGGTAGACGCCGCGTTGTCACCAGTGAACCTCGCGTGATCATCGATTGGACCTCGCGTCGTCAATGAGTGGACCTCGCGTGATCAACGAGTGACCCTTAAATCATACAATAAATTATAATTCCGAACTTCTTCTATAAGTTTTTCTTTGTTCATTTTAAAAACAAACAACAATGCGTCCGACACATTCGAAAGAAAGGCTCGAAATGAAGGGTTGGTGGAGAGCGCCGCATCGCACTCGCGTGAACCGCGCGTTGCCAGCTCGCGCTTCACGCGAGGCAAGCATGCCAACAGCGAGCTATCATCGAGTGGTCCACTCTCAGTCTACGCGTGGACACCTCGCGAGCGAGGCGATCCGGTGATGGTACGGAGTTGATATAGTGAGCACAGGCCCATACAAGTTCATACGAAGAATACGAACTGAGCGAGGCGAGGCGATGAGGGTCGGGTGCCGGGTGGCTCTAATGAGCTGTGACCTTTAAGCGTACGGGTGGGAGGACTTCTAGGAACGGATTGTTGAGCAAATGTACAGAATTAATATTTAGAGGCGTTTATCACAGGGTCTAAGAGTAATTACAAAAATGATTGTAATTACTCTGAGCTCAGGGTGTTTCTATTGTTTTCTAAAAAAAAATTTAAGTGTCAAAAAGCTGTCAAAATCACGAAGCATTCTTTACTTAGAGTAATTACATACATACGTACCTAATTCTTCATCTTTAACTGCTATTTACGATATGTTTATATTATACGTTATATTAATAGTTCGTTGTTTTTAATATAAAAATTGTTTTATTATATTAAGTTTATAACGCTGAAATTAAGTTCAAATAGGTGATACGAGTGATCGTGAAGTACTTATTGTGTTGGATAAAACATGTATGTATGTATGTTAATATTGGTGTTATAGAACGCCATAATACCACATGCATATTAAGTACACATTATTCAATCAAATTATATATATATTTTTTTAGAAGAGGGGGGCAAATGAGCATCTTCTCATCAGATGATAAGTGACTGCCGCCGCCCATGAACAACTGCAACACCAGGGGAATTGCAGGTGCGTTGCCAGCCTTTTAGAAAGGAGTAAGCTCTTTTCTTGCAGGTCCCTAAATCATATCGGTCCGGAAAATCGCCGGTAGTAATCAATTCCAGAAAGAGGTCATACGAAAAAGTAAACCCTAGTAAAGCTCACATTGCCGGGCCGCCTAGCTTCCAGATTGTGTTGATGGTATCGTAAGTTTTGTAGCGATGTGCTTTCGTGAAATTTGGCGACTGAAATTAATCCGAACGATTCCTAAAAGCACTCCCTGTGGTAAATACGATAAAAAATGCAAAGGGATGCTATATTTCTTCTCGGCGCCAGTGAATCGAGCCGATCAGAAAGAAATCATTTGACAACGATTCGAACCTCGAACATGCATTCGATGCATCTTTGCCAACGCAGTGGCAGTTTAATGATGTCCGTCTTAAAAAAATCTGCAAGGGGCAACAAATTCGTTAAAGGCGTTTTGAACTGCCTCTCGGGTATTGAATTTTTTTCCCGCCAAAGTTTTATCCATATTCTGGAAAAAGTAAAAGTCTGTAGGCAGTCTGGCGAGTATAGCGGATGACGGAGAGCTTTCAGCCCCAGCTCTTGTAAGTTGGAGACCGTCTAGTGTACGGTAGTAAGTAGTAAGATCGCGCGTTGTCGTGCAGGAGCAGCGGGGACGAGCGATTGGATACTAGCGAGCTTCTCCATCATTGTGTTCAGTTCTTCACAGTAAACATTTGCAGCAACATCCCATCCCATTTGGTAAGAAGCTGATGAACCACACGGGCGCAATACCACCAAACAGTGACCTTAGTTATATAGTAGTATAGTTTTGTAGTCTAAGATCCGGACTAACATCGAACTTCACTTTGAAAGTGAAGTTAAGTATAAGTGAAGTTAAGTTGCGCTCTTGCGCAGGCCGATATTAATTCGGATCCAGAGAGCGTATAATCATTGGATCGGAACTTGTACTATAGTATGATATTATAACATTTAACTGTATATAAGCTGTATGTCCCGCCGGCACCAATGAAATTGTTAATTGGAATTTTAAGTGCTGATCTACCACGTACTCGGCGGTGAAGGAAAACATCGTAAGTAAACCTTTAAGTCTGAGGAATAAGAAAAAAAAATATTTCGAAGACATGTGAAGTTCGCCAACACGTATTGGGGCACCGCGGCGGACACTTCCTTGCCCTAAAATCCTCTCAGAAATGAGGGGAGACCTGTGCCCAGCAGTGGGACGTATATAGGCTGTAACTTTACTTTACGTTACTTAAGCTGTATGTTAGTATATTATTACTCTAAGGCCAAAATAAAGAACGACCGACAAATTGGAAAGAAATAGTACAACACGCATGTGTGTAAGCATCTCAGAATGGCTACATTCGACTACAAGATATTCGTAATTAGTTTAAGATACTAAAAAGTTGTTCAACATTGTAATATCAGCTCGTCACTCGTACGAGCAAAAAACAGCATTTGTTACCTATAACAGTTGTTTGAATATAATATCTAGGCATAAAATGGAACGCCTGTAATTACTGGCTCTCCATAGCCTTCATATCGGAACATAGCAATGCATACACTGCTATTTGGCGGTCTATATAGATAAGAGGGCACCTGCGCATAAAGGTGTTCATCTACTCTCTCTCTCTCTCTCTCGCTCCTCTCTCTCGCTCTCTTGCTCTCTC